AAATGCACCAACTTAAATGAGTTAAGAGCCAACCTCTTTTACTAACGCACATGTGCTACCAGCTTAGACACCTTCTAGCCATTGCTGACAAAAAAACTACTAATAGAGTTAGCCACCCTTGCTACTCTAGTGTCACCCAGCTTAGAAAAGAGTGATATGCCCCTGCCTATAAGGACATAAAGAGAGAAGCCAGAGGCCCCAACCCTCATAAGCAAAGAAACCAAATGTATCAATAATATTTAGATAGACTACTATAAACAAGCAGTTAGAGTTGTTTATATAATCACGCCCTTTTAACGAAATAAGGAACATTGATAGAAAGCTGGGTGATGTGACCAGTTAATTGTAATTACCCCATTATTAGAGATTTCATCATGCACACGAAGTGCCAAAGCCAATCTGTTTATACTAGCCCAAACTCAAAGGTCAATAGATAGATAATATCAAAGTTAGAGACAATGATATCTTAAAGACTTAATTATCAATGAATAATTCTTAGATTAAAACACAAAAGTATTCTAAATAAGTTATCATCCGATAAACCAATATTAGAGTACATGAACCACCAAGATTACTATAGTTGGAAAATATAGGATTCACCATCCAACAAAATTCAATAGCTAGTATATTATTAAGGACACTCAATGACAAAACTTAACTATCAAGCATATTAAACAACTTACAAAAAACAACTAAAAGAACACAAAGTATCATTGACAGATAAGTAAAATGCTTATGAATGTATAACCTAAAGAAAATAACACTCAACTTATTAGAACTAACTGTAACGATAATCAACAGAATAGAATGAATGTTACAAGACCAACAAACACTCATTCATGCTAACTATCACACTAGCTAATCTGAATAGATTTTGGTCAATAATACGAAGGAACTCAAGTTACTTAAACAAGTGTCAACAACATCCTACCAATGTCTCAAACCCAAGACATTAATCCAAAGCAAACCACAAAGAACATGTGGTAATATGAAAAACCATAAGCCATCAAAGAGACCAATTAACCATCATGAAAAAACATTAATCATCCCACCAATAAAAAGATGTATAATCATTGTCGAAGATAGAATCCACCAAATCATTCTAAATCAACAATAATTAAGCAAAACTTTTGACAAGGACAATAACTCAAGATGATAGTTATTCATCAGCAATGATTGCCATATGTAAATACTAATTTCAACTTTGAAGCTAATAAGCTAAAATGCTTTCCCCAACAACTCCTAATAAATGGAACAATGAGCATAAAAGTTAAAGAACCAAAAACTTGAATAAGTTTATAACCAAGTCTCTTATAACAATGATCATAAGTTTCATATGAACTAATTTCAATGCTAAAGAAAAAATCATGGTACAACTCACAATATCTTCTTTAAGATATCCATAAGCTAAACTTTATAATGCAAAAGCTAATGAAGAGCATATTTGCATCAATTCAAAAGCCAAACAAAATAAAGTTATGTTTAACAAGTGATCATCAAATTGATCCTTCATGAATCCATCTTTTATAACAAAACATAACTCACTTCATAACAAGCATAAGAAGAATCATCAATGATCAATATAATCCAACTCAAATTCAACAAAGATTCAAACATTCAAATATCGATCACTAATTCTTCCTCTTGTAGAGTGTAGCACACCTAAACATCAGTCTATAATAGTTATCCCCATGGTTATGGATTGAATCCATGCCGAAGTCAGTTTGCCAAAACTGACCCAAGTACTAACAAACGAGAGAGACAAAACTATGATTTATAGAAATATATTATTTTATTGATTTGCAAGATTTATTACAAAGTTTACAAAAGCTAGTCTTTATTATGATTCTCATACTTCGTGACAAGCTCACGAGCATATGTAAGATTCCTAAGAGGTTCCCAAGTTGATTCACAAGTCGGGTAACCTTTCCACTTAACTAGATATTCCTTTGCACGAGCCTGTCTCCAAAATTAAGAATCCAAGATAGTTTCAACTTCGTATTCTAGTTCACCGTCCACAATGTTTAGTGGCGGACGAATTGCCCCGTGTCGCGCAACATCCATAGTGTAAGGAATCAATAGATTGGCATGAAATACATTATGAATATTGGACGTCTCTGCAGGAAGATCCAACTGATAGGATACAACACCAATTCATTTCAACACCCGATAAGGTCTAACATATCTCGATAACAGCTTCTGAGACAAGGAGCCCTTAACATTTGTTCTAGGAAGATAGCCACACCTGATCTCCCACTTGATAGGATACATCCCGATGATGTTGATCCTTATCACATCGATACCTATCTTGAGCTTTACCCATTGTCTCAGTAGCTCTAAACCAGCCTTGGCGTAGCTGCTCCACATAAGTCTCAACGGCCGGGACCAACACTTCGGACATTGGTTTTGGTACAACAATCTATTAAGGCACCCCACGAGCATTCCCTTGCAACATCTCCCATGGAAAACAGCCAGTAGCACTATAAAATGTGTTGTTATAACATATTTCTACTATATCCAAATGTTCAACCCAGTTGTGTTGATCCACCGTGACATAGTACCATAAATAATCCTCAATTTGAGCATTCACGCATTCGGTTTGCCCGTTAGTTTGAGGATGATAAGCCATACTAAACTTCAACTTGGTACCAAACAACTAGAACAGTATGCCCCAAAACTTCTCCGTAAACCTCGAATATTTATTTGAGATCATCTCTTCGGGAAGACCACAAACCCGCAGTACTTCATGGAAAAAAAGCTTTGCTGCTTGTTTTGCATTCACTATTCCCACCGTTGGAATGAAGTGTGCAATCTTCGACAACCGATCCACAACCACCATCAAAGTATCATAACTTTTAGACTTCAGTAAGCAAATGATGTAATCAAGTGTCACACTTTGAAATGGCTATGCCGGTGCTGGAATGCACTGCAACTTTCCAGCCTGCTTCTTAGCTTTGCACTTACATTGCTGGCATATAGGGCAGGAATGGACAATATCCGCTACATCACCTTCCATACCAGACCAAAAAAATCCCTTTTTCAACGAAGCCAAAGTCTTTTGCTTTCCACCATGTCCCGCTGCCAGAACATCATGATGTTCCCGGAAAAACAACTGCTGCAGAACCTTAGAGGGACGATACAATCTTTCTTGCTTATAGAATATAAGCCCATCCCAAACTGAGAAGTGAAGCTTCACATTGGTTTGACTAGCAACTTTCGCTACTTCACTACCAAGGTTCTGCTTCAACATCTCTGCATAGTGCAAAATTGCCTTCGCCAATGGATCACTTCCATACAAAGCCTGAAGGTCCTCCAACCAGTCTGAACTGATTGCCGATATTACCCGGAACTGAGCCAGATGACTCAATGCATCCGGAACAATATTGTCTTTACCGGGTTTATATATAATTTCAATATTATATCTAGCAAGCTTCTCTTGCCAACGAGCTTGCTTTTGCATAAGCTTTGGCTGCATAGCAAAGTAGCTTAGTGTGTTACTATCTGTATAAACCTTGGTATGTCCACCCAAATAATCTCTCCAGCATTCCAATGTCGACACTATAGCAAACATCTCTTTTTCGTACATTGACCATCTTCATTGAGTTTCATCCAATTTCTTGGAATATAACGCAACAGGACAACCATGTTATCTTAGTGTAACACCAACTACTTTGTCACAATCTTTCTGTAACACAACACCAATAGCATAGCCAGATGCATCACAATGCACTTCGAAGGGTTTATCAAGATCCGAAATCCTAAGAAAAGGAACTATAGTCAAGATCTCCTTCAATCGTACAAAAGCACACTGACAAGTTAGTGTTCAATGAAACAGTATACTACTTTTCGTCAACTCAGTCAATGGAAGAACAATTCTTGCAAAATTGCGGACAAACTTGTGATAGTATCCCGCTAAAATAAAAAAGGAACAAACATCTGATACAGTGGTCGAAACTTCCCAAGACTTCACCGCTTTGACCTTCTTTGGATCCACCTCAATTATGCCACCACCAACTATATGTCCAAAAATGTTCACATGCAATTGTCCAAAAGCATATTTACTTTCCTTAGCATATAGTTTGTGTTCACGCAATTTCTAAAACACCAGCTCCAAGTGTTTCAAATAATCCTCCAATGTTTCATTGAAGACCAAAACATCGTCGATATATAGAACAACAAATGTGTCCAAATAATCTCCAAATATTTTATCCATCATAGTGCTAAACATTGCTAGAGCATTACATAACCCAAATGGCATGACAAGGAATTTATATGATCCGTATCGAGTCTTAAAGGTGGTCTTCTCCATATCCTAATCCGCCACCCATATCTAGTGATACCCAAATCACAAATCAAGTCACATAAAATACTTAGCCTTTAAGAGTTGGTTAAACAAGTCATCAATGCAAGGCAAAGGATAACTTTTTTTTACCATGATTTTGTTGAGTGCCCGATAATCAATATATATCCTCATGATTCCATCCTTTTTCATAACAAAAAGGACTGGTGCTCCATAAGATGACTTGCTTGGTCGAATATGACCTTTGTCAAGAAGTTTTGTGAGTTACTTCTTGAGTTTAACCATCTCCTTGATGTTAAAATAATACAAAGCTTTCTTAGGTGGTTTAGAACCTAGAATAACCTCAATCCGATGATCAACCTCACGACTAAGAGGTAGCCCTGGCAGCAAATCTTTTAGGAAGGTATCCTGATTCCACACCAACAACTCCAATATCTTCTTTGGTATAAAATCAACTCCATCACCAATTCGAACTGAATCACCCACACCTTTAACTTCCATCACTTGAACCTAAAAAGTCTGACATCCCTTTTTAACTACTTTTTGAGTGGCTCTTGCAATCAAGAACTTAACATTTCAATCCTTTGAAGAGCACTTTTGCAACTAGAAAGACATATTAAGATGTCCTTATGACTTTAACATGATACGACTTTATCTAACACTATAAATCCTTTTAATATATTTATTGAACAAATCCATATCAAACACCATCTGGAAATCTGGTATTTTCAACACTACCAAGTCCACTCTTTCAATGGAGTTAAAAACTCCTCAATCTCTCCCACCACCACACCTTCTAAATCCCCTCGCTTTTCTTGATGTAGGGGAGCCATATTGGTGAGGTTTCCAGGGGGTCCACAAAAGGAGACTACCAGCTTGCTGTGTGTCAGATTGGATTCGAGCACAGGTTTGGCGATCCATGAGACTCCTCCACCTTCTGGTGTATACAAAACGTGCTGGCTCTAGAAACGACAAACCATTGTTCTTGGTCTTCGGTGGAGCCAGTTCTAACACCCATTCTTCACTCGTTGGAGCTCTCCTTAGCTCGAGGCCTGGAGGGCCGGCGAGCTATTCCCATCGTTTCGGCGGTTTTCTACACCGCGAGTTCTGCGATCATGCTGTGGTCGCCAACAGTGCTCGTGCTGATCTTGTCGAGGTTGCTGGTCGGCTCAGGTCTCGGCATGGCAGTGACAGTGATACATTGCCAGAGATCCATGGGACGCTGTCCACGCTGCCGCAGTTCATTGACTTGTGCTCCAGAGGCTGAGGAACAAGACGGACATCTCATGTGAATCCTCTTGGTTTTCGTTCTTTGTTTATACTCACAACTTCTTTTCATCTTTCCAGCGGAGTTGGCACTGTTGGTGGAAGGATTGGGTGTGAAACCTGCGGTTCATTGGTGGATCCGACCACAATGCCTTCCATGATGGAATTCCCTTGTATTCCCAGCTCGGGCTTGAGGCAGTGTAATGCTCCTGGAAAGAAAGATCACACTGGATGAGCAAAGGTTGAGAAAGCAATGTACCTGCGATGATCATTTTGACTTTAACCGCGCTTGTTATTTTTTGCCTCGGGCATATTCTACGATCATCGGTCTTCCTTTAAGCATGTATCCGTGCACAAGTTGCAATGCACGGGTTGCTGCCACTACGTCTGGAATGTTCAAGATTTCACGTACTGCCAGAATAAACAAGATGCGAACCTGGGAATGTAACAAAGGCTTGACCCTTCATTCGTCCTTTTTGCATTAGTCGGAAAAGAATTTGATCGTCTGGTTGTTTCTTAAATCGAAGAAACAATGCGGCTAGATCCTCCTCTGTGACTTCCGAGCACAGATTCTTGACGTAGAGAACCTGAGAAAGAAGCGATTCAGCCTTTATCTAGCCACAAAATGAACTTACGTTTGAAGGCACACCTTGCTGGTGGTCTCGGAACTTTCCATCCGACCATTCCTGCAACTCCTTGAAAGAAAGCCGGTTCGAGGCGATATTCTCTTCAGAAACCATGGGGGGATTCTTTTCCTCGTTCCCGGTACTTTTAGCGTCCTGAGTGGCTTCATCCAGATAGGTGTCCAGATCCAGCAGTGGTGGAGCTGAAGATGAAAACACTTCCGATGACGATCTCGAAATCTCTTTCCCAGATTGCATTCGTGCTCGTTCCTAGTTTTCAAAACCTCAAAATCAAAGAACGAAAGGAAGTTGGCGACAGTGAAAACTACCTCCGGCGTAGTGCCACAGCAAACGACGCTGAGCTCAGGCAAAGGTTTTCGGAGAGAAACACCTGGATCAAAACAAATACTGAAGAATACTTGTAAAACCACACAAAAAAGAAAGCTACCTTCCACAGTAAGATGTGCTATAGCTTGCAATCTTTGCTTTCCTTCGATCAAAGAAACTTCCAGCTCCTTCTCATGGCGTCCCATTTCTTGCTTCACAGCTATGGAGCTCTCTCGAGAAAGAGTTTGCTTCTTTCGTTCCATCTCTTGGCTTTGCAAGAACACCGGGTCTGGACCATACCTCTGGCGTTTGCACTTTTCCTAGAAAATGAAAGAAGACCAGAAAAAACTCTAGCTCCAAGAACAAAGAAAGAAATTCTTCACCTCAGGCTTTTGGATCTCCCCCTCGTCTTGTTGCGAGCGAAATTCTGCCAAAGTCGAGACTCCTCCAGCCCCGTGAATGCCTCGATAGAAAGATTGCGTAGCTCCCTTGAATTCCACTTGCTCTAATCTATCCATCCAGCAAGAATGTGAAACCAGCGCGATCCATGGATCGATCGATCGAACATACCTTGCAGAAGTAGAGAGCTGTCTATCGAGGAGATGCTGGAGCATAAACTCCGCGCGCGTCACCGGCGCGCCTATACCCTCGCCTTCTTCCTCCATTCTTCTCAAGAACCCTAAAAATATTTTGAGGTTGCGATGAGCATCGTCAGAGCGCCAAATCGCGCGCTTGCAATGGCGGGCGGCGCCGCTGCTCCTTCGCCAGCGCAGCAGGGCCGCATTCTTTCCCTCGTCCAGGGATGCGCCAGGGATCAGTCTTTCGGAGGTATGGCAGGATTTCTTCTTTCCAGTGCTGGAAATCGAAGTCCATGCAGAGGGCCAGGTAGAACAGCTCAAGAAGAAGAGCGCGGAGCTCATGTCGCAGCTGGAGCTCGCAAGATCGGAGCTGGAAACGAAGAAAGCGCGCAAGAAATCCGCGGAGGAGGAGCTCAAGTGCCTCGAGGTGGAGCTTAGCAGCGTGGAAGCCACGATCCAGTCGCGACAGGTGGAAAATATTGCCGATCGATCGAAATATCTCCTTTCTTTGGCAGGCAAGGCTGGAGAACAAGCAGCTGGAGATTGCCGATACGCGATCACTGCTGGAAGAACTCAAGGTAGGAAAATCTCTCATGAAACTCTCTTGATCTAATCACCATCGCGATCGATCGATCCTTTCCAGCGCAAGCAGGTGCAAGACAGGTACACATTGCTCGTTCTCGCCAAAGTATTTGACACTGATTGTTTCGATCCAGGGACCAATTCATTCAAGAATCGCTCGAGCTGAATGCCAGCATTCGCCAGCTCCAGGAGAGCTCGTCGCGAATCGTGTGTGAAGCTTGTGAACGCTGCTAGCGTTACCGGGAATTGACATTGGCGACTTCTATAACATTTTGGGTATTCTGTTACCAGTTTTGTTTTAGGGTTCTTCGCGATGGCTAGTGGAGCTGGAAGACGCGGGAACAAGGCGGATAAGGTCTTGGAGTACGAGGCCTTCGTGGACAAACGCCTCAAGCCGGACCTTGTCCGAGCTATTGCCGAGAGGTAAAAACTTTCTTCTTCTCTTTCATTTTGGTGTTTCCATTGATTCTCTTCTCCTGAGCAGGGACAAGCTCATGGAGCAGCTTAAGACTTAGTAAGTATCTATCCTTTACTATTTCGCTATAAGATTGCTAACTCTTCTTTTTCTTTGTAGCTCGGATCTTGCCACTAACATCAAGATGCTAGAAGAGAACAAGCTTGCGAGGCTAAGAACCATGGTGAACTTGGGATCCGAGATTTACTGCCAGGCAGATGTGTAAGCTTTCAGGTACTTGCCTGGCAGCAGGCTCTAAATCCTTGAGTTTCTCTTTCAGGCCAGACACGTCGCGTATCTTTGTCGACATCGGCCTTGGCTTCCACGCGGAGCTCTCTTGGAAAGAAGCCTTGGACTTCATCACCACAAAGACAACGATCCTTGACAGGTGAGCGTACCACCAATATTTTTTTTTATGTTTCTCTAGAGGACAGTTTTCAATAGGACTCATGAGCGCGATTCTAATGCCCAGGCAAATCGACGAGGAGACGAAACGTGTCGCGAGAATCAAGTCTCAAATCAAGCTGGTATTTGTTTCCGCGATTTCTTCGATTTCTCCTCCAGTGACATGATTGATCGATCTTGTTCCAGGTCTGCGAAGGCATTCGCGAGCTCTTGAATTTGGGGCCAGAGTGATACTGTTCCATTCTACTCGAAACTTAAAACTTACTACTTGGAAGTTATACCTTGGAAGATTCTATTTGGGGCAATCGCCGCGCGGAGGTTTTGACACGTGCCCTTCTGTGGCAGACATTAACTCATTTTTACGACAGCGTGACAAAACGAATGACCATTAGTTAAAGTTAAGAAAAGGGGGAAAAAAGAGGAAGGTAAAGGAAAGAAAAGCGATGGTGCTTGCGATTGCGATTGTTGCTCGTCATGGCTAGGGTTTCTTGGTGCTTGTAAAGAGAAATAGGGTTGGGGATGCCAAAGTGACACGATGGCCCGTTCCTCGTGAGGGCGCGCCGCGCGATCGGCAGCTGGAATGGTAAGCGCGCTTGGAAATTCTAGTCCCCACTCACAAATGCTTGCAAAAAATCTCCCAGATCGCGCGCTCTTCTTCCGGGCCTGGAATTCGTCCTGATTTCGCGATCTTGCGCTCGCCCCGGCGCTAGATTTCGGGAAATTCGGGGGGAAGCCCCACATTCTCAGCGAATGTGTTCTTGATCGCGGCGATCTCAATCCTTCCAAGACGGGGGCTGCTTGCTGCGTGGCCGCCCGGCGGCCACGCAAGTCTCTCGAGGACGATGTGGTGGAGCAGCAGCGGCATTACAGGCAGAGAAATCCCTCCCAAGTCTCGGGTAGCTGGGGTAAGTCCCCGGTGGACGATTTCGAGGTCTCGGTCCATGGTGGTCCGCAGCTACGCAGGCTCTCTTTCTCTTCTGGGAGTAGAAGTGGAAGCCGGATAGCAAGCTCGCCTGTGAGCCACCAGCGGACCTTTTCTGGCAGCTTGTTCTCGCAGGGTGTGAGCCCCTCGGATAGCTTTCGAACTTCTCAATGGAATTTCATTGGAGGAGCGGCAGACTACATCTTTGCTCTACCAGGTACCTGGAAATGGGGTCCCATGATTTACTTTTTTTTCTGGTTTCTCGTTCTAATCCGTTCTTTGTTTGTCATAGATTCGGTTAGCCCTTCTGGTCTTTTGCATTCCAAGGAGGTATGCATAGAGTTCTCTTCTTTATGTTGGTATGCCATGATCTTAATTGTTGTTTCTATAGTCCTTTTCGGAACCCGCATCTTCTCATCGAGAGAGATTGAGATGGACGAGTGCCAGCAGCCCGTCGGATTTTTTCTCTCCCCAGGACTCCACGAACATTAGCATGGAGCAGCTCAAAGTTGCCGGTTTGCTCCGGCCCCCGGTTGAGCTACTGACTTGCGGCCTGTGCGCACGCTGGTTGTCTCAGGCGTCGCCGCTGAGCTCACTGCCCGTGGTTGGAGTTCTCTCCTGCGGCCACGTGTTCCATGCGGAGTGCCTCGAGCACTCGGTTCCACAGGGCCAAAAGCAAGATCCCCCATGCCCGCATTGTGTTTCGTCGGAAAGGTCCCTCAAGAGCGCCTCCAGCAAGAGTCTCACGCAGTCATCGTCGTCCAAAGGCATACTCAAGAGCTTCTCCCACGCCTCGACGTCCGCAAAGAACAAGCTCTCCAGAGTTGGCGTGATAACCGACGACGGTTCAGGGGCCGGAAAGGAGCCGCAACTGAGCAAGTTTCCGTCGTCAAGCGGCTCCTCCAAGTCTCAGCTGTCAACTTTCTTCGGTGACAAGACGACTCTCGGGAAATCCATCTCCAAGCGGGCGTTCCCATTTATCAGAAGGAAGGATTCGCTGCTGGGCGAATGCAGGTTCCGGAAGCCGGGCTCTCCCGCCCGAGTCTCGCCCGAGAAAGATTTCACGGTCGAAGAACACAGCCAGTCGAAAGAAGCTCGGTCGACTTCGTTCAGGAGCCCGTGAACAGGTGCGCATGGTGGTGCTCTTTGGCAGCAGCTGTAAGATACTCATAGGACGCCAAATCAGTGTATGTGCCTTGATACCGGTCTGGCAGCTCTCGTCTGATTACTCCGTTTTCCTTCTCCATCAAATCATCGTCGTCGACGCAATGGTCTGTTCAATCAACAAAGCTTCTCTCTTTTTTCTTTCACTCTTTCTCTCGGCTCGGGTAACACTTTTACTTTATTGAGATGCTAACCTTGGTTTGAAGTCTTTACAGAGCTCGGCTCAAGAGAAGGCCTGCATAAGCGGCCATGAGAAGAACCGGAAAGGCCACCGTGAAAACTCTCCCCACCAGCTTGAGCCATCGGTTGAACCTCGGCAGCGGTGCTCCAAAGCACGACCAGAGAAAGACGATCCAGACGCCTACCGCTACGCCGGTGGTTGCTCCATCGCTGAGCTCCAAATGGTTCTTCAAAGCTCGGCACAGCACCCCGGTGGTCATGTACGAGAGGCTAAACCAGAGGCAGCGTAGCATCATCCTGGCAACTCGGTGACGCTCCTTGTCATCCACTGGGCCCTCGAGCTTCACCAGCAGTGCGACGATCGACTTCTTGCTCTTCTTCGCCGCCGCTGCCGCCATCTTTCTCTCGGGTGGAAACGGAGGCTTGTTCTTGCCTCTCGACTCCGGGGACGAGCAGCTCCGGGCAGTGACCAAGTAGACGGCCATGAGCATTCCGGCGGTGGCAATGACAGAGGCAGTGAGAAGACTGAATGCGAGAGGCTTGTCGCGGGTGTCACTGGAGCTGAGAGTTACCTGTAAGCAAGTGGAGGCAATGACGCTTAGGGGCGTCATGGCCACATTAGCGACCGCTGTGACGACGTCCTCGCGGTGTTCTTCGTGCTCCTCGTCTTCTCCGGCCATGGAAGACGCTGCTGGTGCTGGTGCTGGTGTTGGTACCTCCATCGCTGGAAGTGACAACTAGTGCTCTCTGCGCTGCGAGCTTCTTTTTAGCGAGGCCGGCTTTACGTGGAGTGTATCGCAACACGCTGGTAAAAAAGCTGGCGAACTTATGTGTGTGCTGTTTTTGCAGCGGTGATTTCCACTGCTTGAGTATGTGTGTAGTGCACACAAGAATCGTTTGGGTTTTATTTTATCTAGCAGGGAATCGTACGGACTATTTTCTTGTTTTCGGTGCACCAACGAATCCACTGCATAGTCTTTGCGTTTCTTAAATGCTCACCTCTTTTCTAATAGTTGGGATACTCTTTCTTTCTTTGATTTGATTTTTTCCCTCTTTGCGTGTGATATCAGTATCGTCTTGAGTCTTGAGCGATGGCTATGGAGTGGTGGTCCGCGATCATAGCCGCTTTGGCCCTTGCAAAGTCGATAGCTCTCAACTTGGTGATTGCGAGGGTGGTGGGATTTGTGTTCAGTTTGTGCCGCCTTCATGTTTTTGTGAGGAGGAGATTGGCAAAGCAGGGAATTCTCGGCCCCAAGCCTTCATGGCTCGCGGGAAATGCAGTCGAGATGAAGAGATTGGTGGCCTCTGCGACGTCGGCTGATATGAAGAGCACCAGTAACGATATTTCTGCTCGGCTGCTACCTTTCCACCACAAACATGCACAGACTTACGGTACGGCAATCTTATCACTACTTTCTTGGTTTTCATTCCGTGTTGCAGGGAAGAGATTTCTAGCCTGGTCTGTGGGATGGGAACCTTTCGTGAGCATCTCAGAGCCAGAGCTGATTCACGAGATTTTAAATTCGACCGATTTCGAGAAAAGTGGAATTCAAAACAGGTTTATGATGCCTCTGTTTGGCAGAGGACTTGCCATGGCCACTGGAAAGGCTTGGGACCATCAAAGGCGGCTTCTCAATCCTGCTTTCTACGTCGAGAGAATCAAGGTGGTTTATGCTTCGACGATGGTTTCTTCAACTTTCACTGACTGCTATACTGCGCAGGGGTTCCTTCCAACGATAAACTTTTGTGCGAGTGGCCTGGTGCAAGAGTGGAAAGGATTGATTCGCAGCAGCAGCTCGAACGTTGTGGAGGTCGACGTCCATTCCGTGCTCACGTTGGTCACAGCGGACATCATTGCTAGGACGTCTTTTGGGCACGAGTTTACCCACAAAGAAGAATACGTTCGCTTGGAAAGAGAGCTCGAGGTGTGCGTTTTGAATCAACCGGCGTTTTGCTTGATACCCGGCTACAGGTAACAAATACACGCTGTCACACGCTTTGCATTGACCATTTTCGTCTCTACAGATATCTTCCTACTAAACAGAACAGGAAGCTGTGGGAAATCACGCGAAAAATTCGAAGCTACCTCTATGAACTGATTGACGCTCGGCTTGCCACCGGCAAAGATCACTTTGGTGACGACATCTTGGGCTTGCTACTGGCTGCTACGTTCTCGTCCTCGCCATCCTCGACAAAGAAAGTACCTCCGATGAGCAAGGACGTCCTGATCGACGACTGCAAAACGTTGTTCTTCGCTGGATACGAGTCATCTGCTGATCTCGTTACTTGGTCGATGATGCTCCTGGCTCTAAACCCGGAGTGGCAGGCGAGAGCCCGCAGTGAAGTCCTGCAGGTTCTTGACGGATGCGAGGTCCTCACTTCCGAAATGCTTCCAAAGCTCAAACTCGTAAGAAGAAGATTTCCTTTATCTTCCAGCTTTTTCTCTCCTAACGGTGATGGTTTTCAAACAGATTGGCAACATTCTCTCGGAAACTCTACGCTTGTATCCAGCCGCCGTGGCTATCCGACGTAAAGCTGTCAAGGATGTGGTGTTCACCAAGGGAAAGCTCGTCATCCCCAAAGGAGTTTGTGCGGAAGTCCCCATCTTGCGCGTCCATCACGATCCAGAACTCTGGGGAGACGATGTGCTCGACTTTAATCCGGACAGGTTCTCGAAGAGTGAGGCAGTGGCAGCTGGGAGCTATTTGCCATTTGGCTGGGGGCCGAGGATTTGCATTGGGCGAAACTTTGTTCTTGCGGAAGCCAAGGTGGTGTTGTCTACGCTGCTCGACAACTTTGAGTGGGAGATTTCACCTAACTATCGCCATTCTCCTCGAGCTGGAGTGACGCTCTATCCCCAGCATGGCATGCAATTACTACTGCGGCAACTTCCTCAGAACTGATTTGCTGGTCCGATCCAAAGAAAAACTAACAACACTTCAATGATTTATGATTGTTTTGACAGATTGTATGTATGGGTGGTGGTGCATGTCATAATAGTTCATAAAACACGCAGTCACATAAAATCAAGAGCATCAAAGAATTAGAACACCAAATCAGAGCATTCTAATTTAAGAATTCAACAAAGTAGCGTAATACGAGTATTGGATTTTTACAGATATGAAAAGATGTGATCCACAAGAACTATCTATGATCTTTTACTTTATGCTACACTGGTTGTGTTTTATTTCTAAATATAAAGCAATCATGAATTGCAAGCGTCCATCAACCTTGTCAGGTGATCAATCAACCTTTTTCCAAGAAAGCGGATGAAACTTACATCAGCTTTGTCAAGCAGTGGACATTCGATCCTTGTTACAGACCATTTGTCTCCATCAACCGGTCAATCGCGTGAACAAATGCATTGCAATCGAACTTGGCACCACTATTCTTTCTCCCTCATCGCTGCCAAAAATCAACATAGCCACCACATATTTTGCTAGGATTCCTCCAATGGAAAACTTGCGATATTGCCGTAAGAAAATAGCTCCCGCATAAAATCCTTGTAAAAACCTGTTCTCGATGCTCCCCTGGCCATAGCGCAATTCCTCAAAGCTTGGGCGTCCAAATCCCATTGCAAACCCGGCTTGAAACGCACAAAGGTTAGATGGATATAACATAAGCATGCAAGAAACTTCTATACCTTCATGCTTATATAAGTTTTGCCTTCTCCCAAGCCGTGCGAAGTTGTTCCGCACTGTCAACAGAGGCATCGAGGATGGTTTTGATGACGTCCGCTTCGTGACAGTGAGATTCCACTTCTTTCTCGAGTTTGGCAGACTGTAGTGCGGCTCTGCGCAACACGCTCTCTGGCATTCCTGCATGGAAAGAGCGACTAACATGTGCATGAGACGGGAACTTTGGCTTGCCTGCTATTCGTGCGACGTTGACGCCATAACTCTTCGGGCAAGAGCCAGAAGTGAGTTTGTAGAGGAATGTTACTGCTTCCAGCTCGTTATTTCCACCTCCAACCTTGCATGCCATATGGCACAAAGACACCTGTCCACAGCCAACAATGAGGCCAGCAAAAGACGCGGAAAGCTTACGGAAGGGTCATTCGCAAAATCGCTTGCAAGTTTGTGGTAGTGAGAAGAAAACATTCCCCGACATTGGACGTTGTGTGCTAGATAATGGAGCACGGCGTGCCTGGAAACAAAAGAAAAGGAAGAAGAAGCAACGGAGATAGGCTTTTAAGAAACACAAATGAAATAAAACATACGCTATAGCTTGGCCGTCTGAGGTTGCTGTTCCACGTCCAAGCTCGTCCAGAGCCACAAACGAGTTTTGAGTTGCACAGCGCTGGAACAGACGGTGTTAGAGATGGACGCTCAAACACAGTCGAGGAGTTACCAGCATAACAGCGGTTTCCAGTAGTTCAATCAAGAATGTGCTTTGACCTGTCATGATTTGATCCTTGGCTCCCATACGAACGAATAATCTATCCGTAAGGGAAAGCTCGAGCGACTCAGCTGGAACCTCTGAACCAATCTGGAAGCGTCAAAAACCTTTTAGTTTTGTCCAAAGTATCATAGATGACTTTACCTGTGCGAGTATCATTCCCAGACATACTTGACGAAGCAAAGTCGACTTGCCACCCATATTGGGCCCTGTCAAAAGCATAACCTCTGGATTGCTTCCGCCACCGAGAACAACATCGTTCGGAACAAAAGGAGTGCTTGCAGCAGTACTAACAGCCACTATAGGATGTCGTAAGGCTTTGGCTCTAAAAACCGGCTTTGCAAGTTGACTTGCTGGGACAAACGTTGGCAAGCACGTCATTCCATCCATGTGCAACCGGGCAGACGATATGCTCATAAGAGCATCCAATTCTGGAAAGAGAAAGCTTGTTTATCAAGCGAGTGTTGCTTGCATACCAGAACTTGCATACCAGAAACAGCTCGAATAGCAGAGAGCCAGTGATCGTGATCGTCACAAAAGCGCTTAGTAAGAGTTTGGAGTATGCCTCTCAGAGCAGCTTCCTTCTCGTTTTCACAAAGGCTAAGCTCTTGCAACAGCTCTTTCACCCTTGGTGTCCAGTATCGACAGAAACCCTGCACGTTAGCTCTGCTAGTCACTTTCAATGAGAACGCCGCTGTTTACCTTTCTAGACGAGCGAAGTTCGTAATCTGAAGGCACTTTAGTATGCAGCTCTTCGGGTATCTCAAGCAGGTAAGTATCCTTCCCAACAGTCACGTAAGAAATCTGCTACAGAGCAACAGTCAATATGAGTACAATGGAGAAACAAGCTACCTCTGGATTTTTGAAAAACTTTTGCTGGCTCTTCAGGTAGCTCTCGAGTTTTTCTCTGGGATCAGATGCCGATAAGTTGCTATGATCACCACCGGTTACTCGACCATTTGCTTCTGACTCCGACCAGTCAAAGGAATCCTCAAAATACTGCAGAAGAGGCTTCAAATCAGGAAATCCTTTCCCTAAGAAGAGTATACAATTTTCAGTAACGTTTGGCTATATAGGAAAAAGGCTTACCAAAGGTCAATAAAGACCGCAGGCGAGCTGATTTGAGCTGCGGCAGACAATTGCCGAAACAAGATACAGCTTTGACAAGTTTCTGAAAGCCCCGAAGTGCCGCAACGAGTTCCTTGATCTGCTTCTTTGCAGCATCTTCATACAGCACAACCTTCTGCGAATGCCTCCCATTTTCCCCACTAAAAACGCATTGCAGTAAATCAGAAGTGCATCGAATAAGAGTCTTCAAACCTGTTTGCACTGAGTCGAGCTAGAAGTCTTTCAAGGTCCGGAATACCAGAGAGCTCCCGTCGAAATTCTGAAACTGCATTTTCCGCCACACCCTGCAACAAGCTCGATCAACTCGGAGTGAGTACCAACAGACTAACCTGCATATCTACGACGGCATTTTGCCGTTGCACAATGGATTCAATATTGCAAAGAGGCCTGACAATCCACTGCTTCAATAGACGTCTTCCGAATGGTGTTATGCAGTGGTCGAGTAAACACAAAAGAGTCCTGTAATGACCAGCTTAATGAGTTACCGCATCGAAACCATACTCACCCTGCCACTCCACAATTGGAAGAGTTTTCCAATATTTCCAAGTTATCCAAAGCAGCACTGTCAAGTACCATGTGAGCTTCTGCGGCTTCAGGAATAGCGGCTGAATGTTCGAATGACAGGTCCGATCCTGGAAGCAACTCGAACCTCCCAAGCTGGAGGAGCTGACCATCAAGAAGCGATTGCCTCAAGTAACAAATGCAGCCCCCAAAAGCAGATAAAACTGGTTCTGACGAAACACCAAGCTCGAGAATTTTTTGAAGAACGGTAGGCATCACGTCTGAAGCTCCATAACTGGTGCGAATCTCTTTGGTTGTCTGTTCAGCGTCCCAGAACTCTTTTGAAGGTACAAGTTGACTGATCAATGGTTTTCTTGTTTGTTCGCGTAAGGCCTTTTGAGTAGCGTCCGTCAGCAAGCCAAGCGGCAAGACTAGTTCGACAGGCCTCAGTTCTGTCAATATAGATCTGAGTTTCGTCCTTGCGGAGTCATCCTCGACCTGGCGTTATGCATCAATAAGTTATAAGCCACACAGTAGACAATCACGGACCTGACCGAGCATAAATAAAGCCCTGGAGGCATCTACCACGCAAAGTCCGACCAAAGAACCTCCATAATTGTCCGCCTTCTCTGTTACTGCAGCAAGGAAGGAGGGCTCCGCATTGTCACTAATCATACCAGAGTCCACCATGGTTCCCTTAGTTATGATCGCACATATTTCACGTCTTACAACCTGTAAACTTTTGCTTGTATGTATCAAGAACACAGATCGTTATACCTTGTCTTTGCTGCCCGTTTTTCTCTTGCGTTCTTCAAGCTGTTCTGGTGTCTCCGTTTGCTCCACCACCAACACTCGATGCCCCTAAAATCAAAATCATAAGCATTTCCACTGGGGTGCGAAGTTTCTACCTTTCGAACTAGCTTCTCTACATTCTCAAAATAATTCTTTTCCGGGAAGCCACAATGCGGCTGCTCACCCTGAACAAGAAGAAAGGTTAACACTTTATAAATAAAAACTGGAGAGAGCGTAGTGAACCTTCATGTACTGCAGATCAAGGTCTTGAGCTCCAACATGTGCATCCATCTCAAACATTTCGTAGAACTTCCCCATCTGCAGCATGCAGCACAGCTAAACACTAGCAGGCATAAGCATCGCATCATCACCTTAAAAAGAAGAACTTTATCCATGTGTTTGGCCTTGAATTCCCACCATTGCCTCTATTTCGTAAAACAAAAAATAATGACCATCACAAAAGATCAAGGCAGTACCTGGCCTCCTGTGAGCCCTTTCACAAACTCGGCCGGCAAAAAAAGTGTTCGAGAATCAAAATTTGGCCAGTCATGGCGCCTTCCTGAAGAATCCTTGCGGTTCCTTTTACAATTCACATTTTGATCAGCCAGGACGCAGTAACCCAATCTTACTTGCCAAGAAAGCTGAATTTTCTTGAGATTCGACCGCCAAAACGTTCAAGTGCTTCACCACTCAGCAGTAGTGAGCGATCGGCCTCTGCACGCCAATGTATATCAATCTAGAAAACACTAGGACAAGCTTACCACAACACTCATCCGCTCTCGTTGTGGCAGGTTCTATCTGCCGAACAGTTTCCTCTTTGAACCGTGTAATTTTTTCGAGTTCTTCAGCTCGCTGTCTGCAGAAAAGATGCTCAAAATCTGAGTCAGGAAAAGGCTAGTACCTGGTATCTTCTTTCGGAATTTCTCCGATCGTCGCTTCGTCCTCCATCGTTCGTTTTTCTTTGACATCGGCACCTTTCACTTCACAGCCACTATCATCGTCTGAAGAAGCCACCACGTACTTCTTTCTCAGCCTTTTCCTCGGAGCTCCCAAACCATCCGACGTTTTGACTGCTGCACCTGCTGAAGAAACAGAAGAACTTCTTCGAGTTTTTCCACAATGACTGTTCTCCAAATCCATCTTCTCAAGGAACTCCTCGTCGTCACCATCTTCCAAAACGACCTTCTGCTGTCCAGACACGCGATTGTATTTGAGCGATAATTTCCCGCACCAAAATACCTTCAGTCTTTTGAGTGATTTACTAGACTCCGCTGGAGGACTTCCACATACATTGTCATCCGCCGGCCTCTTTAGCGGAGACTCTTTGCTTTTCTCATCATCTCTTTCCTCATTTGGTGCTGTTACCGCTTGAAATGAAGAAAATGTTAGTAGAGAAGTCATAGAAAGCATCTTATCTCACCAGTTCTATCGTTTTTTCCAGTATCTTCTTCTTGTCGATCATGAGTTTTCGGTGACAAAGCTTTTCCAGCATACACACAAAACTACAAATGTTAGCATTGGGAAGATCGAGAAGAACTGGCAATCTAATCTACGATCCAAGATCCCTCCATTCCTCCCAAACTATCAAAATACCTGGATTACTAGCAGCGATAGTCGCATCATTGATCACCAAAACCTTCTTTGCCGCTGGCGATGGAGCAGCGGGAGAAAAGAAAGACGCAATGCTGCGCTGCTGCTTGGCCGCGGCGCCGCCTCCTCCACCGCTACCGCCGCCGCTGCTCCTTCGATGCGGCGCCATGGAATGGAAATCGAGGAAGAAATGCGCTCTAGCTAGGGTTTATGGCTTCCCGCCACTAGTTAAGTAGTAGCGTTTATTTCTATTCTATTTGGTTACAAGCGCATTGGAGCCATCGCTCACAACGTAGTTGTCGTTGATGAGGATTATATCCGTGTTTGGAACTCCCCCACAGTAGAAGACATTGTCTTCGTTGTCGCGGAGAGTTTGCTCGTCGCTGCTAAAGAGAATCGAATGTGGACAAATTTCGCTGTCGATCAGATGTCTCGAGTTTGCCGCGATTGCTTTCCTCACGTAGCCTTTGTAGACGAGCAAGTCGTCCACCAAAATCTGCCATTGTATCGCTGTAAGTGATTGAAACAAAGCGAGAAAAGCTCCAGGAGTTTACCTCGATCTCACGGACACCAAACGTGGGATTCCGGCTGTAGTTCCAGATCTTCACGAGGGATAACATCACAGGCTCGTTGAAATACAAATAGATCTGGTTACCCTGTGAGAGAAAAGAAACAGCACTACTTAGACTCGAAAGAGAAAAATGCTTGAAACTTACTTCGGTATAATCTCGTACGCTCAACCACATGTTTTGAGTGTCCCAGGTGTTGTTCACTCCATTGAAAAGCTTCTCTGGATTGCTGAAATGAGTGGTCATGTCAGGCAAGACGTGAACATTGTCTGTGGCATATGTCAAGGCCTCCAAAATCAGAAAAGGAAGGAAAAAACTCGAAGGATACGTTTTAAGACGGGGACACTTTGGCCCAGCTCGTCAAATAGCTCGATTCCATTGAGTCCCAGATACTGGTGGTCTCCCCAAGTTGAGAGAAGCACAAACTTGATCACATCTGAAAGACAAAAAAGACAAAAAAGTTCACGTATTTTGCAATGAAGTAGTTACTTACGCCCAGAGGGAAACAAGGGCGTGAGATACTCCTGTAGAACAAGCTTAGCGTAAATCCGCCTTTGCTTGACATTCTCTCTAACGTTGTGCTGTTTTAAGAAACCACCATTACAATGAAAACATTCACTTCAGCTACCAGATTGGTTACCTTTTCAAGTTGCTGGAGATTTCTTTTGGATCTCTTGTACAGCGTCAAAACCTGCCCAAAGTCGAACTTGTCCGTCCCGGGAGCTGAAAACCGAGTTGAGACTGAAATATCAAGTTAAAACACATACCTTTTCTTAACAGGAAGCCTCCTGCCGGTGAAACTTCGACGTTATCAACGAGAACCTGTATCCATTTTACCTGCAAAGCCGCCGAGTTCTTTAGCAGGCATGAAAGCAAACATAACTTACACCACGGAACGTGTCGTCTAAACTCTTGTTGTAGTTCCAGAATCTGAAAGCTGACATTGTCACCGGCCTTTTAAAGTCGATCTCCAGGAAGTGCTCAGCCTCCGGACCATCATACGGCACAAGCCACATATGCCGATCATCCGTTGTCACATTACATCCGTCGACAAGCTTATCAAGCGTCCTGTAGTCTCCGGTATGCCCTGGTATATCGTTCAAGTCCCTTGGCTTTCCAGTGATAAACTCACTCTGAATTGAGTGTGCATTTCCATTCTCGTCCAGCACCTGCAGAAACAAGTCTCTTCACGTTACCAACAGTAGCGGACGAAAAGAGATTCTAATCCACTTACACGAATGTTATGCGAAAGTAGTGGGAGTTCTGGTAAAAGGTACGAGCCTGGATTCCAGTCAGTCCAAAGTAATAGCAATCTCCCCAAGACCTGAGTAGATTGAGCCTGAGAACACGTCCCATTGGCGCTTTATCCGAACCACAGTGGTCGTGTAATGACTGTCCAACGCGCTTGCCCTGAGAGGAAGGCACCGGGAGCTTAAACACGGGATTTTGTAAAGGACTTCCAATGTAGGCCTCGGTATCCTCGTTCATGTCATGTAATCCGTCGCTTCCTGGAGAGCCTTTTTTCTTGTAAGTTTGCGCGTCATGCATCTCTATGGCACACAGGCTGGCCTGAAAAACATCACGACACATGAAATGAAAGGAAAGAAAAAAGATGAAGCTACTAACCTCATTGTTTGTGAAGAGAATTGGCTCAGCATTGTTGTAAGCGTCAGAGAGCAAGCCGGATGCTCGTCGCAATTCTCCATAAAATATGAGCTGAGAGTCGAGGAACATACGGATCAACCTGGCACCGCGGTAAGTATGCATTGTCGACTTGTTGTAGTTCCAAAACCGGACCATTCCCAGCAAAGTTGGCCCCTCGAGAGAAATGGTGATGGTGCAAGGATGTCCCGGAGAGAAAGGTGCGAGCCACATATGAGAATCGTCGCACGTCAGGTTGACATTGTCGACCAGCCTTTCCACGGGACACGGACTGCAGTTAAGTCCCGAGAGGAGAGCTGCGGTTGTGTAGCCCACACTGATTTGCTTCCTCGAGTCGATGTGCACCACCTGTCCAGCGTCGTCAAAGATCTCAATGCCGGAGAGACCAACGTAGTGTGGATCACCCCATGAGCTGTGAATGTCGATCGTCAGCTTCATTCCAAGAGGTAGGAGCGGAATGGAGAAGTCACTCGGCGCTACAAGCTCCGATATTTGTTGCTCGTCACCGTCTAGCTCTTCTAAGTCTGCATCGTCGGTGTAGCTTAGAGCTTGGAGAAGCGCTGCTTTGTCGGCTGATTCGTCGAGCATGTCGACCGAGAACATTTCATACGTTGCATCCGCGGACAAGTTCGCACTGACAACTTTCTGGCTCACATTTTGCTCGAACTTATTGTAGAAAGTACAAGTGTCTGTAAACAAAGAAAAAAGCTCTGAGCGGATATTGTAGTCGTTTCAGAAGTCTTACCTTCACCGTCTGAGTTTAGTATCCTTTCAATCTCCTCGAGCTCCATATTGTCTTCCTCGAGCTTGTCTATGTCGGCTTGCAGATTGTCGTCAGCGTCGTCGGTCTCCTCTGGTTGTGGTTCCCTTTTCGAAGCGATACTACGCTGCAAGTAACGAGCAGCCCTGGACCATATTGACTCCGTTTCAACCTTTTCCACGGCCTGCCTCGTCGCAAGCTTATTACCAGCGACTTCAGAGTCTTCAAATTTTGGAGACGAGGAGTTTAGCCTGAAAGTTACACGTAGATCCAGGAAAAAAGATTAAAGGAACTTCGGTTTATACCTTGAAACTTCGAATTCCAGCTTCGGAGATGGAGGAGTTATCGAGATTGATTTTCCAATGGACGGATTTGGCAATGTCACTCCTTCCCGCAGTGGTATTCGTGTGCACGAATCATATACTTGGCTCCCGGATGACTTTGAAACCGTTCCCTGCCACGCTATCTCCCCGTCTATCAAAACTTGCAAGTCCCTCACACCTTTGCCAATACTTTGGGTGTGATTCCAAACTTCAAGGTGTCCGATCGAAGTGTCTTCCGAAGGTAGCTGAAAGAATATTTCCAGAGGAGGAGAGCCTGGCAAGGGAAGTAAAGCCTCCCACACGCTAGAATTCACACCACCATCCACAATCCGGCCAAGTTCTTTTGCAGCTTCACAATTCGAGGTGATTTGCATAGGCTGGACGTCGATTTTCTTGCCATCAGTGTCAAACAGATCTACCTGCAAAAACACACGAAAGTGCGTAAGAAAGAAAACAAAAATAATCACAAGAAACTGTTCTAGCAACCACGTAAAAGCACCATCCAAAGCTATCTATCCCAAACTAGTACACTACCTCTTTGCAAAAAGTTCATCCCGCGTCGACTCTGCAGCCTATTACAAATTGAGCTTTCATGCGTAGACAAAGGATACCTGCACAAGACCAACGAAGTGCTTGTCGCCCCAAGTTGATAGAATGCGAAGAGATAAGGTACGGGTTTTGCTGACAGCGGAAACTTCAACTCCTTCACAAGGATGTTCTTGAGGCGTGAGCATGTCGACGTCGCCACCTTCGAGTTTATCCATAACCCCCAGAAGATACTTGAGCTTGTGGGAGCTAAGAACTTGCAACCGTGCATTGAGAAGCTGTAGCAACGACTGCTCCATGTTTTCGGCTTCTGGCGAGGTAATGTTCCAGCTGATGGTTGTCTCCCCGTCAGATAGTTGGCCACCTTGATTGTCCTCAGCTTCTAGATCCTTGCTCAATCCCCCCTCCTCTGCTCTGATTCGCTTGTCTTGCTTCTTCAGTATCGCCGGAACAGTGTCCCAGCTCGCTCTAAAGCGATGCCTCCGCGGCGTCTCCTCCACTTGAGCATGCTTCGAGTCGAGTAAGTTCACTTGAATCTCTTCACTGATCCCTTCCAGCAACCGATCGCTAGTCGTCCCTTCTATCCCAACACTATTCTCTTGTTCCAACGTCGCAGACTCTTGGGTTGACAAGTTGTCTGCTCCAGTGGAATCTCCCCGCTGCGAGAGCTTCCCAAGAGTCTCCACCAGTGCCTCGGAGCTCCTTTGTTTCTCGTTCTCCTCGAGCTTCGCCGACGAGTCATACGATTTCCTGGCCACCAGCAGCGACTCGATTATGTCCAGAGGATTGTCCTGATAGAAGACGTGGTAAACGATATCCTGGCCGACGTACTCAGGCGAGTGGAGTGGTCTTTCGGAGTCTTTCGTGAAACCATCCAGAGAGCTGTTAGTACGCAGCTCAACTTGGCGCTGAAAAGCACTTCCGAGAGTCGAGGACGTCGAGTGTTGCTGACCAAACTGGACCGGAATTCCATCAACCTGGCAGATTTCTGGATCTGGTGACGGAGAGTGTAACTCGAGAGACTTGTTCTCGTCTTCTTCCTGGTCATTCTCCTCCGATATGAGCTGCTTGGATTTCTCCAAGTTGTGTTTGATGATCCGGTTCTCGGACTTTAAAGGTTTCATGCTAGCTTTGATCCTGGACTCAGCAACCTGGACAAAAGAAAAATCAAAGTCGTGGCTTTGTAAAATTCTCTCTTTGCTACCTTGTGCCAGCCTTTGCTCCTTCCCACACCGAGTCCTCTCCTGCGATGAGATTAACCAGGGCAGGGAAGAAATTTTAGAAACTCCAAGAAGAAATACCTCTCATCTTTGTTGGATGGACGAACATACAATGGCCGACGCAAGGGGCTCTTTTCCAGTGCTTTGCTCGCATCACTGCGAAACGATCTATTTCAGCTGATATGGATCGAAATCCCTGCTTACCTCACGACGATGCAGCCATATTTCTTGCTCGTATCCGTTCTCATCTTCCCAAACCGGGCAAACATCTCAGATGCTCCGGCGCTCGGCATCCATTCCACTGTCGCATTGCACCCTTGGATTCCTGCCACTTTCGAGCACACCACCGCATTCTATCTCGATCGATGGCAATCGCCTCCACTCTCATCCACGCTTCATCTGCCCTAGCCAACTGATTCATAGCTCTGCCCACGTGGCCCAAACGTGAAATTACAAGTAAAAAAGGTGAAATTCGCAAGCTAAGTAAATAACTGAAGTGAATTAAGAATTCATATCAATCAATTTTAAGAGGATGGCACAGCCGGGCAATAAATTCACAGTTGGAATAATATAATTAGAAACGAGTTTAGACGAAACTTCATAAAATTGCTGAGTGAAATGAGTGCCATCAAATAGTAAATATTCACTTGGATTGTTGCACACAGTACCACTTGGTGATCCACAACCACATAGTGCTGTATTATTATCAGTAACGCAATTGAAATTACCTTCAGGTATCCCACAACAAGCTTGTTTATAACTTTTAAATCCATATTGCTCCATCTTTTCAATTATATCATTACTTGCAGAAAACCAATCAAAATAATATATTTCCATATTATCATTTTGATTATTAATATCATTTACCATATCTAATAATTTCTTATTAAATAAATCAATAGTATTTCTAACCTCAACAAGACATCCAAGTTTGTCATAATGCATCCCAGCTGCATTAGAAAATAATTGTAAATAGCTAGGAGCACAATCATAACGAAGAAGATTCATTACCATAAAATATTTTGCATCAGAATTATGTAAATCCATAATACTAGATTTGATGCCCTTAACTACGGCTGGAATTGTAATATTCATCACATATGCAAAATTTGGCATGCCATAACCAAGATCATTGCCACCAATTTCAATATAATAAAGTGCTTTTTCATATAGCATTTTTTTTTATCAAGTTTAGCACCATTTTGATGATCGTCAACTTGTTGTTTATGCCATATAAAATCTGAAATTTGAGCAGACAATATATGAGGAGTAACAAAAGATGTGTTATAAACACTAGGTGGACGAACTGTTGCTCCAGCATAGCCAAAATTTAAACTTGTAAAATAAGTACCATTATAAGTTAAACTTGGAGGCTCAATATCATCCAACTTCAATTGACGAGCTAAATAATCAATAAATACATACCCATCACAAAATCTTCCAGTGGGCTTTCCCAGTGTAATTCCATATGGTAGATGTCCAGAAAGACTAAATGCACCCAAGCCCGCTGCTACTGCTTCAAGATTGCGATTGCCAGTATCTGAGAGCGAATCAGAAAAACTAAAGATTGCACTAGGACACAATTTTTGTTCAAAATTACGAGCATCACCATAAATCGCCAGCAAAAGGAAAAAAACAAAAGCAAAAAGACTAGAGGCCATTAAAACGAATGAAGGTAACAAAATGATTTAACCTTCTATACATTGGTCTAGAGTTATGTTTATCTGAACAGCTGATATTTTTGTATGAGCGAAAATATATATATTGTTTCTATAATACTATATAAGTTATGTTTATTTCCACATGTGATATTTTTGTATCATTTTTTTTATGCTAGTGTTGTGAAATAGTTGCTATTTTATAATCTAGCTTCAAAGTAAGGAACTCGCCAGCAGCACTTCCTAATGGTTGCCTAGAGCGTTCGAGCTCCAGAAGTGATCCTGGTGACATTTTCCCCACTACAGCTCATAAACATCCTACCACGATGATCCTTCTCTTATGAGCACAAGTTCGAGTTGTAACCAGGCTCTCACTTCAATATCTGCATTGCAAAAGTGGACTGTAAACAAAGAAATACTGCTAGCAAGTGTTCCTATACAATATCTCTTTGCATCCTTGACTTTACTAAAGCGAGCACTCAAAGACTTGCCTGGAAAAATTCAATCCAAGTAAAGTGGAACCAGGCATGGCCCGTTCCTCGATGTCACAGTTGATTGTTCTTCTTTTCTTCTTTGACACTGCAACATGCTCTCCACTCGGGCTCGTAGTATGGCGAATCCGCAGGAATCCCATCCATTAAATTCTTCTCGAGGCATTTCGTTCAATTGGATGGAAAGCGACAATTTGTATGAACATGAGATAGTCCAGTCCGGTGCACAGTTTCTTTCATCGTGCATTTCGGTTACCATTTGACACCCATCCGACTCTGGATGTCACGCAAATGAAGCTTGAGACGCGCAGACATATCCATGAAAGCTTTCTCAAGCGCTAGACATTATTGCCTGAACTCCTTTTGAGACAAATAACGCGAAAGCTCTTTCGAAATATGTCCATTGGCTCGGCGCAAAGTTTTCGATGAAACACGTCCGTTCAGACAAGCTTACCTATGTATCAATGGGATTTCTTGTTCCCTTGCCAAGAGTTTCCACTCTCATTTGTGGTACTTGCGTCCTTGTAAAATCTCTACTTTCACTGTTGAGCTCTGCAAGAAGGACCACCTCGGGCTCCTCCTGAAAGTGTAGAAGGACTTCCGCTCTGTCGCCAGGTTGCAGTTGGTCACCGCAGACTATCTTATTTCCTGTAAGCACTTTCCTCTTTCATCATCCTCTATCCTTTCGACAAGTCGAAGTGAAAGAGTGAAAGCTGGACAATGTTCTTCAATCGATCAGCATGCTTGAATCATATGGCAGTTCAGGAGAAGTTTATCCGGCGTATTCGCTCAGGCCTCCTTTTATTTCCTGCGGAACATCACAGCACTCCAGCTCTTCCTGCAAGAAAAGGATTGCAAAATCCACAAAAAAATAGAAGCTGATCACTCACCTATTGCGCTGCCGCGCCCAACCGCCGAGCTGTGTGTGTGTGTGTGAGAATGGAATACCGCCTTACCAGCCTTTCAAATGAGAAGTTTCCCTTCATTATAATTCTTCGGAAGATGGATTGAATGTAGCATCACCTTCATTCTACTGATAATGGCTTCACCACTCCTGAAATATAATGATTTTCAGTTTTGATCAAGTCAACCATGGTTTTGATCAAGTCATTTTGAACCAGTGAAATTAACGTGTTCTCCTGTGTCCCAGTAAAATGACCAAGTCAGATCTGGAGTGCTCACAACTCCTATATAAACTCGAGGGACCTCCTCATACTCCTCACTCCATTCCTCAGCAATCACAACAAAATATCAAAAGCTTCGATCAATCTCTGTGTGAACATACAAGATGTCCTACAAGTTAGCCATTTGTCTAGTTGCCATTTCCGCCATTGCTTTTGTCCATGGATCAGATGAAGATGCCCTCCAGGATTTCTGTGTCCGTGACACAAACAGCAACACCAACGTCAATGGATTCATTTGCAAGCCTGCAGCTGCAACTCTAGCCAGTGATTTCAAGTTCCAGGGACTCCGGAACCCCGGGAACACCAACAACAAGCTCGGTTCAATGGTCACCAATGCAAATGTTGGTGAATTCCCGGGAATCAACACTCTTGGAGTCTCTTTTGCGAGGATCGATTATGCCCCTTACGGTGTCAATCCCCCTCACGTCCACCCACGAGGAACAGAGCTCCTGTTCGTCCAGCAAGGAACACTCTACGTTGGATTCGTGAGCACCACCAACAACACACTCTTCGCTCAAACTTTGCATCCAGGGGACCTCTTTGTGTTTCCGCGTGGCCTAGTTCACTTCCAGCTCAATCTTGGAAAGACACCTGCTGTTGCTCTTGCGGGATTCAATTCCCAGAATCCTGGAGTCACTCAGGTCGCGAAAGCAGTGTTTGCATCTAACCCTCCCATTTACGATGCCGTCATCGAGAGGGCATTCCAGATCAATCCCAAACTGATCCAGCAGCTCAGGGACCTCATCAAGCAAACTTAAGCAATTTGTTCTCGTAAAGATTCTTCAATAATAATCAAAGTTATTTTTAAATGGTGTGACCAGCAAAAGAGCAACAAATATCGCCAGGAAGCTAGCAGCGCAAGGATTGTCTGTGACAATCATCAACATCGACGGCATCCAGGAGAATCTAACACGGACATGGAAGCACATCGAGCACCAGGACATTCGCCTCGAATCCATTCCAATGAGACTCAAGGCTTCGGCACAGACAACTTGAATGATGCCGCTGCTTTCATAGGTGCCGTCTATGATCTGGAAGAAGCACTCGCAGCCCTCCTCGAGATCACAAGGCCTGTGTCATCTCCTATTTCTATCACCTCTCAGCTCCGCTCGCCGCTGCTAGAGTAGGGATTCCTCTCGTTGCTTCTGGGCTGGAGCAGCGGCTTGGGCTTCCATTCACTATAGTCATTCTTCGCTGGCAGCAGCTGGATTGTCTCCAGTACATCTTAGATCTCTTCTGGAACTCACTCCTTTCCTTGGACACTAGGAAACTTGTCTCCAATCTTCCTGGCTTGAAACCATTTAGAGCCGAGCATTTGAAAGCAGCAGGGAGACTCATACACAACGAAAAAGAACTGTATATAACTGTTTATGAATGAGTGGTACTTGCATATTCTTGATGCTCATGTGTTCTTGATGCCACTACTATTTAACACTTTTACCTACTCATGATCAAGTGCCTAATTCATACACAATCTAATCTTGAATCATGCATAGCAAGGATGAGATGATGAAATGTATATGCTTCCGAGGCATGCTTCCAAAGAACCGGGTGAGAGATCTCTTCAAGCTAAACCTGGCGCTAAACAACACGTCTTGAGCCGTAGCATGAAACTGAGAATGACCAGGACGAAGACGAGGCCAAGTCCCTAGAGTTTCAGACCCCGTCCCCAGATGCCAGGTTGATGTTCAGCAGCAACCTGGACAAAAAAATGAAATATACGATGAAAGAAACTGCGTACCAACTAACTCATGGACTGCAGAATGTGCGGACTATGTGTCTTCATAGTCTATGTTCATACAAATGGTCGAAATTGAACGAATGAGTCGAGATATTATACCTCATCTGGAGTAAGGAGATGGAAATCCCGCTGTGGAGCATGTAGAGAAACTCCTCTTATCGACAGCTGGAGTCTTGTCTCTTGTCAGTTCCCTCCATCAGACGGTTCCATTTGACAGCTAGCACTTCTTCTTTGGTGAGACTTCCAACAGTCTGACTCTGGATCTCACGTAAATCAAGTTTGAGAAGTGCAAATATATCCCTCAAAGCTTTCTGAACATTTGACAAGCGCCCCAGACATTATTGCCTGAATGCCTTTTGAGACAAATAACGCGAAAGCTTTTTTGGAATATGTCTCAGCAAAAGCCCATGAAAGCACCTAGCACATTTGTCAGCCATGAAACACGTCCATTCAGACAAGTTTACCTTCACAGCGTATATATCCATGCGATTTCTGGGTTCCTTGCCAAGTGAGCTCGCATCACTTGGGCAAGGGAACCAGAAATCGCATGGATATATAGGGAACCATTGCCTTAGTCCTCTTGTTGCAAGTCTATGGTACTTGTGTCTTAAAGATCTCTAGTTTCACTGTTGCGCTCTGCAGGATCGGGCTCCTCCTCAAAGTGTAGAAGGAATTCCGCTCTTTCACCAGATTGCAGTTGATCCCAGCCTCGAGCGGAAACTGTTGGATTTCCTGTAAGCATTTTCCTCTTTCATCATCCTCTAGCCTTGTCGACAAGTCGAAGTGAAAGGAACGCTGGACACTGTTCTTCAATCGATCAGCGTGCTTGAATCAAAACAGAGCAACATCCAAACCAAGATGGCAATTGAGCAGAAGTTAATTTGCTTCCCACAGGCAGGGCTATTTCCTGCGGACCAGAAAACGAATACAAAATCCACCGAAAAAATAGAAGCTCGATCACTCACCTCCGCTTGCTGTGTGTGTGTGTGAGGAGAAATGAAATGCCCTTACCTCTCCTCGTAGACCTAAACCCTAGCCTTTCAAATGAAAATTTTCCCTCCATTTTGAATCATCACCTTCATTCTTTTGATAACGGCTTGACCACTCCTGAAATAATGATTTGACACTATCGCTTGATCAAGTCACCTATGGTTTTGATTAAGTCACCTTGAACCAGTGAAATAAACGTGTTCTTCTATGTCTCAGTAAAATGACCAAGTCAGATTTGGAGTGCTCACAACTCCTATATAAACTCTAGGGACCTCCTCATACTCCTCACTCCATTCCTCAGCAATCAAGTAGCATCACAACAAATATCAAAAGCTTCGATCAATCTGTGTGAACATACAAGATGTCCTACAAGTTAGCCATTTGTCTAGTTGCCATTTCCGCCATTGCTTTCGTCCATGGATCAGATGAAGATGCCCTCCAGGATTTCTGTGTCCGTGACACAAACAGCAACACCAACATCAATGGATTCATTTGCAAGCCTGCTGCTGCAACTCTAGCCAGTGATTTCAAGTTCCAGGGACTCCGGAACCCCGGGAACACCAACAACAAGCTCGGTTCAATGGTCACCAATGCAAATGTTGGTGAATTCCCGGGAATCAACACTCTTGGAGTCTCTTTCGCGAGGATCGATTATGCCCCTTACGGTGTCAATCCCCCTCACGTCCACCCCCGAGGAACCGAGCTCCTGTTCGTCCAGCAAGGAACACTCTATGTTGGATTCGTGAGCACCACCAACAACACACTCTTCGCTCAAACTTTGCATCCAGGGGACCTCTTTGTGTTTCCGCGTGGCCTAGTTCACTTCCAGCTCAATCTTGGAAAGACACCTGCTGTTGCTCTTGCGGGATTCAATTCCCAGAATCCTGGAGTCACTCAGGTCGCGAAAGCAGTATTTGCATCTAATCCTCCCATTTACGATGCCGTCATCGAGAGGGCATTCCAGATCAATCCCAAACTGATCCAGCAGCTCAGGGACCTCATCAAGCAAACATAAGCAATTTGTTCTCGCAAAATTCTGCAATAATAATCAAAATTATTTTTACCGGTCACTTGTCTATTTAAACATCAAGCCAACACAATGTGGCTAGCCAATAATTTCTGAAGTACATGCAAGAAAAGGCTGCCACGCACTCCCATCGCACATAATTGGGGGGTTCTGCTAGGAAATGTAGAATAAGGGATATCTAGAAGAGGAGAACGCTATGGGTTCTCCCAAGCATGTCATTCTTGTTCCATTCCCAGCGCAAGGCCATGTCTTACCGGGTGTCTATCTCGCCAGGAAGCTAGCAGCGCAAGGATTGTCTGTGACAATCATCAACATCGACAGCATCCATGAGAATCTAACACGGACCTGGAAGCACATCGAGCACCAGGACATTCGCCTCGAATCCATTCCAATGAGACTCAAGGCTCCCAAAGGCTTCGGCGCCGAGAACTTGAACGATGCCACTGCCTTCATGGATGCTATCTACGATCTGGAAGAAGCACTCGCAGCCCTCCTCGAGATCACAAAGCTAAGTCACCCTGTTTCCTGTGTCATCTCCGATTTCTATCACCTCTCAGCGCCTCTCGCCGCTGCTAGAGCTGGGATTCCTTCCGTTTGCTTCTGGTCTGGAGCAGCGGCTTGGGCTTCCATTCACTATAGTCATTCTTCGCTGGCGGCTGCTGGATTGTGTCCAGTAGAAGGTAAGACTCTTAGATCACTTCTGGAACTCACTCCTTTCCTTGCAGATTCAGACACTAGCAAGCTTGTCTCCAATCTTCCTGGCTTGAAACCATTTAGAGCCGAGTATCTTCCATCCTACTACCGCAAAGAGTTCTACGAAAAGAGTGGAGGAGGGAAGTATTTCTCGCTTTCTCTGCGGCGAGTGGAAATCGACTCGTGCATCCTCGCAAACTCGATCTACGAGCTGGAGCCGCAAGTCTTCGATGCAATGCAGCAAGTTGTCCCCGGGAAGTTTGTGTCCGTGGGTCCGTTGTTCCCGCTCAAGGGTGGGGGCGCCAGTGAGATGGAGGCGAGCTTGAGGCCGGAAAGCCGGGAATCACTCGAATGGCTCGACAATCAAGCACCCAATTCCGTGCTCTACGTCTCCTTCGGCAGCGTCGCGTCACTCACTCGAGCAGAGATGGAGGAACTCACGCAGGGGCTCGAGGCCAGCCAGAAGCAGTTTCTAATGGTGGCCTCGCGGGATCTAGCTCCAGAAGTGAACGAGAGCTTTTTCCGCGAGTTCGGGGAGAGATTATCGCGGTCGGGAGCCGGGATGGTTGTCAGCTGGGTGCCCCAGTTAGCGGTGCTGCAGCACGGGTCCGTGGGTGGATTCTTGACCCACTGCGGCTGGAACTCGACGCTGGAGAGCATGAGCAATGGAGTCCCGATGCTGGGATGGCCCTGCCACTCGGATCAAAACACGAACTGTAAGTTCATCCTGGAGGATCAAGAAATTGGAATGGAGCTACGTGATAAAACCAGGACCGGCATCTCGATGGCGATTCGCAGCTTGATGGCGAGCGAAGAGATGAGGAGTAGAGCGTCACACATCGAGAGAGTCGCCAGAGAGGCCGCAAGCGAGAATGGATCATCATACAAGAACCTCCATGCTTTCATTCATTCTCTCAAGTAAAAGCGCCTGGTCAATGCATAGTCAATAAACAAAATAAAGTCAAAAGACCTACCAGAACCTAGGGCTGACGTGGCTCCTATCCCATGGCCATGGCGATGGCGAGCGCCTCAGCTGCGCGAACAACGTTTCTGGACGGTGGGGGGAGCTCTTCCTTCACGCAAAAGCTTGCATTCCATGAGAATGGCCTGGGATTGAGGGCTCCATGGCGAGGAGGAGGAGGAGGAGGAGGTATGAATCGCATCGTGCATTGTCGATTGAGAAGCTTGAGGCCAAAGACGCAATGGCCAATCATCCCCGAGCAGCACAAATGGATGTATGAGGACAAGCCCGAGCTCCAAAAGGTGTCCTCCTCTCATGCTTGCTGGAATTTTCATCTCTTTCTCTCGAGCATATCTTCTCTTTTGTTGAATCGTTCTTACTCATGGATCTATGGTTTTTTCTTGGATTTTGGTCAGGCAATCTGGCACAAATCCTACTATCCCAAGGAGGCCGATCATCCCAACGTGAGCAAGAAGTGGTACATTGTGGACGCGACCAACATGAGACTTGGCCGCCTTGCTTCCACCATCGCGTACTATCTCCGCGGCAAGGATTCGCCAATGTTTACTCCCAGCCTTGACATGGGATCCTACGTGATTGTGGTAAGAGCTTGTTCTTCCTGGTTCTTCCGCGATCACTTCCAGAGAAACCAAGCTATCTTCCATGGCTCGCTCCACAGGTGAATTCGGAGAAAGTCGGGGTGACGGGACGAAAGAGGACGGACAAGCTCTACCGGAGACACTCGGGAAGGCCCGGAGGTCTCAAGGAGGAAACCTTCGACCATCTCCAGAAGCGAATACCCGAGAGGATCGTCGAGCACGCGGTGCGAGGCATGCTTCCGAAGAACCGGGTGAGCGATCTCTGCAAGCTTTTGGCTCTCGTTGCTTCGCTCTTCCTTGGTTTACGTCCATTGTTTCTTGTAGCTGGGACGGGCGATGTTCAGGAAGCTCAAGGTGTTTAAAGGCGGAGACCATCCCCACGGAGCGCAAAAGCCAGAGCCACTGCCGATCAAGGACAAGAGAATCATGCTGGACATGGAGCCTCAGTTCTAGCTCGTAAGCTCTCCTCTCTTGCAAGTGCTTCTTCGAGTTTTGTGCTTTTGGTAGAAAGCTTGCGGATGTTTTCATTGCCTGGCTTCCAGATCTCCAGGAGGACCAACACAAAATCCTACTGCTTGGCAAAGCCATGGCTCCCAGCGGATCAACTTTTGGTTTGTGTGTATTCTCATCTCAGTAACCATTTTCCTGGGCTTCTAGAAAGCTTGCGAATTAAGGCCTTGCATCGCCGATCGGCATTAAATCGTCTAGAAGAATTTTCCATTCTTTCTCTGGCAATATTTTCCCTGGCACCAAGGAGGAGAGATTTGCGGCTGTGTCCACAAGACGTAGGTATTGCTTCTCATAAACTATTCTTTTCAAGTTTGTTCCCAGATGTAAATGGTGCTATATAATGCTTGAAACGCTCCAAGAGCTAACGCGCGCTTCGCGTACAAAAACTTTAGAAGCAAGGTAATGTACCCTGGAGCCATAGCTTCTGTTTTTGATTCATCAACGCTTGTTTCTCTCCCGGCCATTTCTTTCCCAGATCCATGAGATGGCTGAAGAAAAGAAATCGAAAAGTATTCATCTGGACTTCGGTATTAATCCTTGCATCGCCAGGCTTTAATAAGTAGCATCGAGCTCATTCAAGTAAGGAGACTGTGACTTTGATTGATCACGTCGATGGAGCGTGTCCTCACGCTGCGAGGCTGTTATAAGTATTCATCGAAGCATAGTAAGGAGGTACTGTCTGGTTTTGAGTGATCGCTTCGCTATGGAAGTTTGGCCTTCTTCTCCTGAGCAGGTTGAATTTCGCTGCATCCGCATTCGTTTCACTTCGGTTTCTGCAGCTTCTCGTTGAGCGGACTCGAGAGCATCCGCGCTTTCTGGAGCGTTACAAATCTTTCCAGTCCTACGCCTACAAACGCCGAGAAGCCGAGGTTGATCTTTCTATTTATCTACATCGAGTTTTAAGGGATCCGATCTGATCGTCTCTCGCAGGGATGGTACTACGCTACTTGCACGCCAGGAAGCGAGGTGAAGCTCCTAGCACTGGACTGAGAAATGGTTGAATGCATCGGCAACGAAGAGCAGATCGTCCAGTTATGCGTCGCGGACCGAGACTGTAAGGTACAGTCGCGGTTTCTCGTCGATACTTCTCACATTTCATGTTCTTCCGCAGAAGCTGGCGGACATTCTTGTGAAACCCAGTCGACCAGTCGTCGATTATCGCACTCCTGTTCATGGAATCACAGCGCAAGACCTCAACAGAGCAGCCTACTGTACTCAGAAAGATGCCCAGGTACTAAAATTTTAGATCTTTCTTTTGAGCCAAAGTTTTGTGATGGTTTCCTTCAGGATAACCTGGTAGAACTACTCACTCCTGGGACCATCTTGGTTGGCCATACGTTGTCCCATGATCTAGAAAGTAAGCAGTACTTTAATGTTTTTTTCTAAGCGGCAATACTGGGGTTTGAAGTATTGAAGATCAGCTATCCGCGGGTCGGAGTTTAAGGACACCTTGTCTTTCCTGTCCCTGTTTGATTCTCGGCTTTTTTCTTCCTTGGTATCAGCACCACTCTACTAGACACCATGTTTCCCATCCCAGCTCGTTGCTTTCCAGATCTTTCATCAAAGGTTTAAGAAATAAAGAATATATGGAAATATACAAAAGGCAATTCGCCATAAGGGTTAGGGCAAGCTTATCACAGATAGAGAGCGAGGAATGCAAGACTGTCATATTATTTTAGATATAGATGAAACGCTGGTCACGGAAGCAGAAGATTCGGGGTATGTATATCATGTAGCCGAAGCCTTTTACACACCAATGCATGCGAGCTGTGAATTCTTGTCAGCGCTTAATGCAATCCCCAACGTGTGGATGCACTTTTTTAGCTCCGGTAGGGAGTGCAGGAACATACCTCTTGTGAAACAGATCATGGAGGGTTGCTACTTAAAGTGTAGCTATGATACCTTTTCTATGTCTCACATGACAAAGGAATCTGGTTCTTGGGATTACAAAAAGAAGTTGGAGAACTTGGGTTTTGAGCTTCCATGGACCATCATGGTGGACGACGAATCCCCGGATGTTGCGGCTACTGGCGAAGAGATTAACTTCTTGCAGTTGTATTATTTCGGTCAAACAGAGCATCCGCGAGATCGGCAAGTGTTAAGGCTGCGCAGAGAAAACAGTTTGATCCGAGCTCTCGGTTTGATAATCTGGGCTTTGGAATTGTCAACGACAGCAAATTGCACTTTGGTTCAAGCTTTGGTTGCAATACAGTGGGACCAACATGGCAGGTATGCCCATCAACGAACGAATGCGATGCAAGTTTATGAAGTTGGGCTTGCCGCAATGCAAAAAATAAATCAAAGTATCACACTCTTGGGTTGCAGCAGTGATGCTACTGTCTATCCATGGTCTGAATTAGAGATGGATGATCATGCAAAGGCCCATCAAAAGTTTTGGAGGATTGGGTTTGGGAAGCAAAAGTTAGACAGACTAATGATGCATAGACTGCAATTGAATGTTTCTCTCCCAGCAGTTCAGACTCGTGATGTGGAAGATCTTTGTATTGATGCATTGTATTGCCAATAACACAAGAAGCTTTGTCAAGACGCAGGGAAGAGAAACTCAAGTAAATCAGCATGGCGAGGGGCTTGTAAAAAAGGCCACTAATAAATATATTGAGTTTCTTAGAATCTATAACAAAACGAAGAAGTTGTTCTTATTTCTTGTACTGCATTGTGAAGTTGCTTAATGACAATATATTGAGTTTCTTAGAATCTATAACAAAATGAAGAAGTCGTTCTCATTTCTTGTACTGCACGGTGAAGTTGCTTAACCATACCTCGTATATCAAGCCTGGGCATTAAATGAAAGAATACAAAAGAAAACGACAGTGGAAACAAAAAGAAGCAAAAGATTTTTCTTTTCCTTTTTATTGGAACATCGATAGGCTAGATGTTTTTGTTGAGGTATACGCTCTCTATGACATGATCCTAGGTGGCAGGAGTGCCACTTCATTGATCCAGGTGTAGGCTAGAGGTGTGTCTCTTCATCATGTATATATAGCTATGATATATACAACTATCCTTTGGAGTCATCCACCATCGTAGCTTCCGCTCTTCTTCTCTTCATGGTATCGGAGCCCTGAGGGCTTCAGATCCAGGGACGATGGCACTGGCCGAGGAGGAGGCCAGCGAGGATGACGATGAGCCACCGGACGTGGCTGAGAGGTGCCAAGATTTGACACTGTGCTGCATTGAGCGCCAAGGTAACAGCACTAGCAAGCTGAGCAAGGCACTAGGGTGTGATCGAGCAGAGACTGGCCCGGAGGCGCTGGCAAAGGCGCTGAGAGAGGGCTGGCTTGAGGCACCGAGTGGTGCTGGAGAGCAGCCGAAGGCGCTGGTGGAGGCGCTGAGAGGAGGCACCGAGCAGAGACTGCACTAGGGCGCTGAGCAAGGTGCCGAGAGGAGGCACCGAGCAGAGACTGCACTAGGGCGCTGAGCAAGGTGCCGAGAGGCGGAGAGACTGCATTAGGGCGTTGAGCAAGGCGCTGAGGCGCTAGCACAGGTGCTGAGAGAGGGCTGGCGCGAGGCACCGAGCAGAGGTGAGCGCTGGGCACCCTGTAGGATAGAGGCGCGAGACACCGAGGGCTGCAAGCAGAGGTGCAGTGCTGGGGCGCTGGTGGACTGGACAGAGGTGCTGTCCAGAGGCAAGCAGGCAGAGGCGATGCTGAGTGCTGGGCTGTGAGAGGGCTCCATAGCAGAGGGAGAGAGCCGTTAGGACTCTGGCCGAGGAGGCTTGATCGAGGATGAGACGATGAGGGCTGGCTTGAGGCACTGGAACGCTGAGTGAGGTGCTGGTGTGAGAGAGCGACCCTGAGAGAGTGGTGCAAGGCACAAGCACAGAGGCGCTGGCAGAGGCGCTGAGAGAGGAGAGACTGCGATCAGAGGCTGTGAACGAGGCGCTAGAGCGTGCGAGGCCCTGCAGAGACTCACCAGAGGTGAGTGCCGGGCGTAGAGGCACAAGGCCCCGAGGGCTGGCCGAGCAGAGACTCCACTCGAGCGCTGAGTGAGGCGCTGGTGTGAGAATGCACTGGTAGAGGCGCTGAGAGGAGGCACTGAGCAGAGACAGATTTCTGTCGTGGATACGACAGAGTGCTTGGATGCAGAGGGAGAGTGATCTCAGATTCATGTCATCGAGATCGAGAGGGAGTGTTGAGGTATACGCTCTCTATGACATGATCCTAGGTGGCAGGAGTGCCACTTCATTGATCCAGGTGTAGGCTAGAGGTGTGTCTCTTCATCATGTATATATAGCTATGATATATACGACTATCCTTTGGAGTCATCCACCATCGTAGCTTCCGCTCTTCTTCTCTTCAGTTTTTTGTTTACAGATTCCGCATTTGATCGAGCTTAGGAGTTGAGCTTCTTCAGTACGACGAGATTGAGTTTCAAAGGAGGCCAAACTGATGTGGTTAGTCGAATAAATTATTGCGACTCATTCCTTTATACTGGTAAATGCTTGGGGCTACTCAACCATGAACTTCTCTCTGGAGCTCAAGCAAATGGTGAAAGCGCTTCATATGGTAGGCTGAAAATTTCCAAGCACTGTGTTCTTTCATGATGACAAAGTCCGCTTTTTCTGTGAGATGGTGATGCCGGGTCAGGTGCTTGGCCGTGAGCTTTCTCTCGGGCCTCCTCCTGGTCAAGACGATGCTTCAAACACCTGTTCTCCATCAACATACTGGAGATCACATGATCAAAACACTCATCTTCATGCAAGATGCTCATAATCATACATAATACCTTCATGATCAAGCCACAAGCACCCACTCATGAAACAAAACTTCTTGACTTCAGGGGTCTTGATCGCTCTTGAGAACTCGCCAGCCAAGATATGCCTTGCTCAGGATCTCAATGACCTTCATTTTGTGCCCCTTTGGGTGATAATGTTAGGCACCACATGGTCAACGTCGGTCAAAGGGAGGTTATTAAGGCATATTAGGGTAAGGGACAAAAAACCCTACCCTAGGGCTCACAGTGGAGCAACAGCATAATGGAGCTTTTGAGGTAACTTAGGGGTGGTTAGGTGAGGAACCTTAAAAGGTGGCGTAACATGGTTTAGGGTGATTAGATTTTTGTTGTTTTTGCACCGGATCATAATAAGAGGTATTCCAATGGTTTTGTGTGATATGGGTCTTCAATGGTGGAATTGGCTTGAGGAATCTCGTGTTGCGGATAATAAACCACTAGTGTCTACCATAGATGAGTTTGAGGTTGCTTTCCGTTTACGTTTTGCTCCTCATTACAACGTGGAGAATGCTCATACAAAACTTCGACATTTCCAGCAAGGGAAAATGACACTCGGGGACTATATTGAGAAGCTTACTCGCTTGATTAGTTGTGTTCCAATGAAGGATTCAGATCAAAACAAGTCCTACTTCATTGATGGCCTACATAGTGAAAGCATGTGGCAACACTTGATTGGGAACAAGCATCATAAGTTGAAATCAGTGGTGACTACTTTAGATGCAAAGGGGTCCAAGAAGCAAAAGTTCTTTATGAAGAATTATAGACAAAATTGTCATCATTGCGGCAAACTTGGATATTACAAAGCTAATTGTCTGCAGTTGAAGAATAAGCAGCAGGATAAAAAAAAGGCCAATCTTCTACTCACGGTAAGTTAGATATTAAAAAGTTGCAAACTTTGCAGCATGAGGATGACGAGAACGACCATTCTGGTTGGAGGAAGAGACTTTTGATCATTGCTCGTTAGCTCAACTGTGTGTGGAACAAGATGGAGTTCGAGGATACTCGTGAATCAGCTTTAATGTTGGAGGGTGTGTTTCGTGGCGATCTAGTGCGGATTTTACAGGATAGTGGGAGCGATGACAACTTTGTTTTGGCAAAGTTTGTTGTGGTGGCCTAGTCACACGCAGAGTTCTTCCATACACGGTGGAAAGTGCAGCTACCTTTACTCAGCATTTCGATGCTTGTGTCGAGGGGTTAGAAGTGTTGGTTGGCAAAACCACACTTGTGGAGACTTTTTATCTCACGTATATCCATCATGTGGATTTCATTCTTGGGATGCCATGGTTGGTGAAGGTGGATCCAGAGATAAAGTGAAGTATTAAGCGTGTCTCGCTAGAATATAGTGGCGTTAAAGATGTGTGGTTTGGCGAGGGCGTTCAACCACCAGTTGTTATGCTCTCTACTACATTTTTGAAGCAAGCTTGTCATAATGGAAAAGCACTTTCGAGTTACTTGCTGTTTATTTGTGACTTGAGGGACCAATGCACGTGTGGGGGAGAAGCAGCAGTATGGGATATACTTGACGAGTTTTTTGATGTTTTTTCATCTAAACTTCCTCATGGGTTGCCTCTATTATGAGGTGTGGAGCATGGGATTACATTAGAGCTGGAGACGCGGCCAATTTATCGGCATCCATTTCGATTAAGTTATGTGGAAGAGCAAGAAGTTCAACAATAAGTCAAGGAGTTACTTGAATTTGGATTTATTCAGCCAAGTAAGTCTCCATTTGGTGCTCTGGTCTTGCTTGTGGAGAAGAAAGATAATTCAATGCGGATATGTATTGACTACCGCGCTTTGAACAAGAAGACAGTGAAGGATAAAATGCCGATGCCACTTGTGGATGATATCCTAGACAAGCTTGGTGAAGCATGAGTGTTTACCAA